ACAGTGGAATTTTTGAGAGAATTTTTCGCATGTCTTCAATTTTCAGAAAAGGAAATTGAGGGCCAGAAAAAAGGAGCAAGATCAAAAGCACTAGGCTAAGAGAGAGACAAGCAGGGCTCAAAGCCAGGTAGGTGGCCATGGGCAAGTCCAATGCTCATTCCTCTGGGCAGTGGCCCTGACAAACTCGGATTGCTCTTCAGGGTGAGCACAGAGCTCCTGGTCTACCCACTGGAGTGGCAGGGCTGCCCTGATTCCCACTCCTTGGAGTGTCCTCCATGCCTGGGTGGAGTCTATTTTCTGGAGGGGCTGCAGGGGACTCCATCCTTGCATGCTCGTCAGGGATGGGCTCTCGTCCCTCCCCGCTGAGCGGTAATGGGTGCCTTTTTTCCATTTTCAATCTGGGTGAGCCTTCTGAGTGCTGAGTCCACGAGGATGTGGTGGAAGCGGTGGAGCACGAGTCCCCGAGAGCCCCTTGCCGGGAGCCTGATGTTCCATGTGCCTGGGCTTTAATACACCAGAAGTGGAGTTCACTGAGCTCTCTTAATGGAACTAAACAAACCCAAAGTCCAAGAGTACCTGGCAGTCCCTCATGACTGGGCCCCTATTCACCTGCCTCATCTCCAAACTTCTGCTCTCTTCAAAGCCCCCAGGCTTTAGTGGCCCAGTGACAGCTGGCTGTTGCAATGCACTATGCCTTGCACCTCCTGGCATAATTCAGCTGCTCCAGTCTTCCCAACCCTTGGTAAGGGGGAGACGGGATGTTCTCCAGTGAGGTCTCTCCAAATGCTCCACATTCACCACATAAACCCACGGCGATGAGTTTTACTGGCGCTATCTACTCACATGTCCAGGTCCTCAAGGAGGCTATGAACCCTCTTGGGTGGCAGGGTAGTCGTATGCATCTCTTATCTGTCTGGCTGTCCTTTATTTACCTATCTATTTATTCTTGTTGAATCACAGCGTTGCACCATACATTAATCAAGACATATTTCATGAAGTAAAACCAACTTGAATTCCAAAAACAAGAGTTTTCCAAGAATCCCTTCCCTTTGCAACAGGCCCTCCTGCCAGTGACCACTCCATCTACCAACGACAATCCAAAGATCTTTATGAAGCATTTCTATGCACCAGGACCTCTTCTCACTGTTGTATGTACATGGCGCCTACAACCTTCACAGCCTAGTGAAGTGGATATTTTCATCCCACTTTACAGATGAGAAAATGGAGTCAAATCCAGGTGAAATCACTCACCGGATAGTTTTCGATGGCAGAGTGAGGCCTGGAACCTTCACTCTCTGGCACTCTAGCCTGACTCCTCCATGCCCTTTATTGCTGCCCTGGAACTGGAAATCCCTGGGAAGCCCTGGAGTTGACCTCCTGGGCTCTCCTCTTCCATGCTGTCTGGGGCAAGTTGCTGGTAGCTGCTGCGGTCCCATGGGAGACAAGGTTAACGAAAGAGAAAGGCAGATAAATAATTTACCACCCGAGCACTGAGAAGAGATTTCTTGGATTAAGCATCAGGAAACTCAAGAGACACTGTTAAGACAACAAGGTCATAAATGACAGCATTATGGCCCGGTTGGCTCTGAGCACATTCCTGCTGTGGCGTCCACACAGCTCACTGCCTCGGCTCTCAATTCCATCCCTATTGCATAATCCTCTGCACACGGAGGAGGTCAAAGTGAATTCCCTTCCAAGGCCTGAATTCCACTTTTAAAAACCAAAACAAGACGGACTCGGTCTGCCCAGGCACCAGGGGCATGTGGCGAGCTGGTGGGGCAGGGAAGGAGGAGGACAGAGGAGGCGAAGTGGGAACAGCAGGGTGGGCACCCACCTAGGCAGGTCCCGTGGGAAACACCGCTCAGCCAGTGACAGATTCACAGAGGAATCAGACAACTGTCCCCGAGACTCCTGAGCAGAACAGAAACCGTGTCTCTTTCTCTCTGGAGCAGGAGCTGCTGCGATTTCCATCTTGCCTGGGCTGTCAGGGACGCAGCGCTGGGTGGAGTACCAAGGTGTGGACTCTGGGTCTAGATGTCCGGCCGGGAATCAGCCCCACGGAGCAGCTGCGGAGGCTGGGGAGGCCTCTTGATCCCCCTCGTTCTGCTCTCACATCTGTAAGGTGAGGACAGTCGGGGCACGGACTCCAGGGGCGGTGAAACAGTCCCGCCTGTGAAATGCTGAGAACAGTGCCGACTCGTCCGTCGGGAAGTCTCGGTAAACATTACAATAGGAACAGATCAGTCTGAGTGAAGTATCTGATACCGAGAACATACCCTGGCTTTGATAAGGGCTGTGGCATTAGTCAGCCTTCAGACCCTATGATGAAATACCCAAGGTGATCGCCTCGTCCAGAGGAAAGGTTTACTTTGACTCAGAGTTTGAGTCTCTTCAACTCAACATCGGGCTCCCAGTGACCTCAGAGCATCCCACAGGCTGCACCCCGTCAAGGTCCCCCCAACCCCACCAGTGCCACCTGGGACAAGTGGCCTTGCCTCTTCATGCCTCAGTCTCCCTGTTGGTAAAATGAGATTACGCAGCGCCCAGGGGAAGTACCCTGAGGGTGGAGCGAGGTCGTAGTCACGAAGCATTTAGAACGGCGCCTGCCAAGTATCTGCGCAGCAGGAGCGCCTGCTTAACCAGGGCCAGGGCAGGACGAGGGGTTCAAGGCGTTTACTGAGCAAGTCAGAAAGAAGCACACAAATGTACAAAGCCCGTCTCTGCTCTCCTGTCCCACCCTGGTTTCTTCTCCCTTTCTTAGGATTCCCTTTCCTCTTCCTTGTCTTGTTTGCAGACCAAGCAGTCACACTGCTTAAGAAACAAATGGGAGCATCCTGTGAGCACTCAACCTAGAAGAATGCAAATAAATAGATTTTTAAATAGCAAGCACCTATTAAATTAAAATTGTCCATTAATATAAGACACACAGTACCAATGGCAGACATGAAAATGCGTGTGGTGTGGAGTGGTAGGGGTGCCCTTGTCTTGGGGACCCTCTGCGCGAGCTGGGGCTCTCCTGCTGCCAGAGTCCCCGCCACCATGCACTGCTGAGCTGAGGATGCTGTCAGGCTGAAGGGCAGGGGCCTCTCCGGCACCGTTTCTCTAAGTGGGAGCCAGCTTGGTTGGCTCGCAGCTGCAGGAGCACGGCTGTTTCCGGAAGGTGCGCTTGCTGTGCTGGTCTTACGTTCACATCTTTATAAAGACTTTCCTTTCCCAGAATCCTGGGAACATGTTTTCTATTTCTGGTCTCACACACTTTAGAGCATCACTGCCACACGGGACTCCCTTCCGTCACAGAGCTGGCTCAGTGGCCTGGGTCTTCCTGCTTCTGAACTCTCTGCTTTTTCCGCCATGAAGCCCCTTATAGACGGGTGCTTAAGATTCACCCACTTGTGAACCCAGCACCTCTTGCTGGCGCCTGAAGCAGGCGGGAACTTGGGCAGAGGTGGGCATCAAGTGGACAATAGGCCTGTTCTCGGGGCGCTTCCAGGCTCTGGGGAGGACGCTGAGCAGGAAACGAATGGACACGCAGGACGGCAGGAAATCTGCCACTCGGATGGCTCCCCCAGCACCCCCCATCCCCGACATAACCAGGATGTCGGCTGGGGTCCCTGGGGTCACAAAATCCAATCAGAATCAGGAGGGCAGGCAGCTCGGCGGGAGAGCACCTGCCCACATGCAGGGGTCCTGGGCTCCATCCCGACACAGAGAATAGCAAAGCCGGGCTCCCACGAGGAGTAGAGTCTCAGAAAGCAAGGTATCTCCCCTCCTTGGCAGCTGTGTGGCTTGGACATGTCATTTAACCTCTTATGGCCCCAATTTTGAATTAGAGGGGTTAAATAAGTTAACAGATGTAAACTTAAAAGAGAAAATAACGAAAAGCAGATAAGAATGAAGTCATTCTGCACTGCGAATGTGTGCTAATTTAAAAAATACATGTTTGAAACAGAGAAATGTTTTTCTCGTTATGAGAAAATCCAAGACCCACAGGAAGCAGTCTTTGGACTCCTGGCTCCCAGGCTCCCGACGTGTCCCTTCGCCTGTGGCTCAGTCTTGTAGAGTTTTGTCCTCCCGTTTATCTGGGTTTCTTATTCCCACATTCTGGGGCCTAGGGTCTTCTCCAGCTCATGCTTTACTTGTTTGGGGTATTGTGATGAATTTAAAATGGCTTCAGATTCTCCTGTACACGTCCTACGGGAGTGGAGCCTGACGCCTCCTCTTTGGAAACTGGACTAAGGTGAGTGTCTTGCTAGGTCTGTAGAAAGTGGCAGCAAAGATGCTCTGAGACTCCAAGGTGGGGCGCTGGGAGGGGTGGCGCTTGGGACGCTCGCTCTGAGGAACCCAGGTGCCTCTCGAGGAGGCCAATACCCGAGGCCACCATCCTAGAAGGAGGACAGGCAGAGACCCCTGGCGAGCTCCTGAGACTGCCTGGGGAGGCAGCGGCCTGGACAGCTCCCGCAGGCCCTGTACCTCTCTCAGCTGCTGCCACAGGTGTCACCAGGAGCAAGTGGAGCGCCCCTGCCCAGCTGCCTCGATGGCTGCTTTTGAGTGAAGGAGAGGAATACGGTTCGGGATGCTTTACTCGGGAGTCACAGGAGCAGGAATTTAAACTCATCAAGGAGCAGTTTCTTTGCAGTGTAGAGCCACACGTGAAGCACGGCATGGCCATTGTCCCCGTGGAGAAAGGATACTCGCTGCGAGCTGAAGGAAGCTGGCCTCAGGAACCCAGAACCACCGTGTATGTGCTGCTCACTGACTTGAGCTGAAGCCCCACTCCCTTGCGCTCAGACTGCCGTGCATTCATTCTGTGCAGCTAGTGGCAAATTCCCTTAAAGCGACACACAGGACAGCTGCATGTCAGAGCCAATCCACAGTGCCCAGGCTCTGCAAAAAAATGACTCAGAGGAGGGAGAGGCTCCATTCAACAGCACTTTACTGAGCATCCACCCTGGCCCGGCCTGGGAGCCAGGGACACACAGGTGACATCAAGTGGGCACCAGCATGAGGTGGGGAGGCGGCCAGCCATCCTGGGAGGAGCTATGCCAGGGGTCGGTCGGGGGCGTAGCTCAGCGACACAGGGCCTGCCCCACGCACGAGGCTCCAGCTCCATCCCTAGTGCACACACACAAATCTCTATAAAGGGTACGTGTGGGGCCCTGTGGGACACAAGGCTTGTTATAGTCAACTCCTCCCGAAGAGGTCAGGGAGGACTCCAGGGAAGAGGTGCTGCTGGAGTGGATTTGAAAGATGACAGCGTTTGCCAGGAGGGCAGTGCTAGCACCGTGCCTCCCTGCTCAGGACCTGAAGCTCCCACGCCTGCCCACACAAGTCACTTACCCACTCTGAGCCATCGAGTTTAAATAATGGGATAACAACTGCAGCCCTTCCCAGGGTTACTCTGAAAGTGTGAAAGGGGCTGAAACACACAAAGCACTTGATGAGGTGTCTGGCACATTGCTGTGCTGGCTTTGAAAGAGAAAACAGCAAGGGCTGGGGATCTAGCTCAGTGCCACCGCTCAGAAGTGCAAGGTCCTGAGTTTGATACCTGGTATGAGAGAGAGAGAGGGGAACAGCATGGCCAAAGTATAGTGTGGCATCATGGGCAGACCCATTCATAGTGCCCGGCATGCAGAAAGGATGGGAACGGGAGGGGGTAAGGCGAGGAGACTTCGTGCGATGCGTGGATTTCATCTTCTAGTCCACTTGCGTTTCACTGTGATACATTCCTAGGAGAAAGTAGGGCAATCACTGGAGGGTGGCATACTGTATTCAAAGCGATTTGATATTATTGATGACCCACACTGCCACACACACAGATAGACAAATTCTTTTTCATAGGCAAGTGTCTCAATCTCTTTTACAACACCTAAGGTCCACAACTTAAAGGAGCAGATGTTTGTTTTGGTTCGTGGTTTTTAGGAAATTTTTGCATGGTTGGCTGACATCAGAGCAGGAAGGGCCTGGCGGGAGCAGCTGCTCCCCTCATGGGGGCCAGGAAACAGAGACTGATGGAAGGGAGGGGCAGGGAGGGGGGCGATGCACCCGTCCAGGTGATACCCCCAGTCACCCCTCCTTCCTACCAGGCCCTGCCACTGAGAGCATACTCTGCTATGGACTCATCAAGGGATTCAGCCGAGATGAGCACAGCACCCCGCAATCCACTCACCTTCCACCCCTAACACATAAACCTTCTGCAGACACTAGATCTAACCACATGGCAGGGTGTCCCCAGCTCCCACGCCGGAGATCTGCCACTTCGAAGAAGGGAGGGAGGAGGCCTCGTGAGGGACACGTCCAAACTCCAGCAAGGACAAGATTCTTCAAAGCTGGGGGTCTGAGCAGCTGGGCATTGAAAGGTTGGAGACACTGTGGTGGGGAGTCTGAAGCCATCGGAGGGTCACAGTCGGCTGAGACCAGGGTTGGCCTTGCATTTCAGAAGCATCATTTCGGTGGCAACTCGAGCAGGCCCTGGGATGGTGGAAACGGGTGTCAGTGCCAGAAGGGGACAGGTGAGCAGAGAATGTTGCAGTGGCCCGAGCCGGAAATCACTGGGGCCACCATGAACGAAGCCGGAAAGGAGGGGCACAGCCTTGATTAGGTGCATGAGGAATGAGTAAAAGCTTCCAGGTGAGTGCTCTCGGCTTCCACAGCTCCTCTCCCTGCCCGGACTCTCAACCAGACTGAACAGATCCATAAAACTACCACGAAGCAGGCCTGGTGCTGGGCAGTAAAAGCGAAAGTTTCCGTTGTTCTCCCTTCGTATCATCTCACTGTACACAGTCAACAAGCACAAATGATTCCGACCCACTACCTTGTGGATTTTGTCAGCTAAGCACCAGAACCACAGGAAGGTCGCTTCCTAAGACCCATAGTCAGGCAGATTCCCCCAGCCGGCTTGGTTAGCAGCACCTCCTGCCCCTACAACACTGGCTTCACTGTCAGCAGACATGGGGGAAAGGGCAGCCAGAACCATTCTGTCTTCACACCCAAACCCCTGGGGATTAGGCGCATCACCCTCTCTCGACTCGACTCAGAGGGCTCTGACAGGAAAAAGCAAGACAGAAATCAGCTCAGACGTAAAACCATGCTGGAAGGAAGCCAGCCGTGGCTGAGAGCCTCATTTACAAAATCTCTCCAGAAACTTCACTCGGCCTCGTGGCTCTGGGGTTCCGCCGCTCCTGCCGTGGTGCAGTCTTCGGGCTGCTGCCCTCCAGTCTCTCATGGGGGAAAGCAGTGTTCCTCCAAGCCCTGCTCAGGGCTCCATAGCACAGGATGCTGCCTGGAAATACGTGTTCTGGTCCAGCACTTTTTTCAAAACTTTTGTTTTTACAGTGATTAGGATGACTGTGTATTTGTGCACGGTGGCTCCCATTCACACAACGAAAAGGTAAGAAGGAGGCTGGTGGGGCTTGAAGAAGGGGAAGAGCAGCAGTGATACTGAATGTCTTCGTGAAGAGAGAAGGCGGTGGTCGGGGTTCCTGGCAGGTCTGGGAATCTGAGCCTGGCATGAGATTTGGGCTAGAAGGCACGGTTCCAGGAGGGCAGTATGCCACCTCTTCCATTGCATGACGCTGGCGAGCTCTCTGGGCAAGGCCCGATCAATGCTTCCAACCCCTGGCGACTTGGAGCAGAATGAAGAGAAGGCAGCTCCGCCTCTGGCCCTAGGAGGGTGATTAGGAGGCCAGCTGGACTGAGGGTCTGAAGGAGAGCACAGGAAGCCTGCAGAAACTTTCCGACCTAACAAACTGCAGACAGCGGCTCCACTCGTGTCCAGTGAAGCAGCTGCAGAAACGCCAAGCTTACTTGAAAAGCTACAGAGACCTGAGTCTGGGAGCCTCCACCCACCGGGACAATCAGGGGCTGGAAACCAAGATTTGCCTTCTCATCTCAGAATGATCAGGAAAGTGACGCCAGGGGAGGTGAAACGAATCACTCAAGCTCACACATCTAGTGCAAAACACAGCCAGGGGGCACCCAGGGAGCCGTGACTCTACCCATGACCTTCCCGCCTCACCAAGTGTCGCATAAATGCCTCAGGCTGTGTGAGAACCACTGGGTGGGTGAAGCAGGCTGACAGGTGGGGCCAGCAGGTGGAGGTGGCCCAGAGCAGGGGCCTGGGAGCTGCAGTGGGCTTGCAGAGAGGCTCCCAGAGGGAGAAGATCGGGCGGGGACCAGGAAGAGACTGGATTCTGAGGTGGAATCCAGGACCACGAAGATGACACCACGCACATCAGCAGCAGGGACACAGGCTGGCCCTGAGAGGCTCTGCCACCCTGTCTCCCTCCAGGGACAGCTGCACAACTTGAAGGTCCCAGTGCAAAGTAAAACAGGGGCCATAATAGGTACCAAATATAACGCTTTCTTTTCCCTTTCATTCTCACGCTCAGTCTGTCGTGTTTTTCATTGCTGTCTAGTGCTGTGCTCCCTCAAGCCCGGGAATTCTCACCAGGTGCCTGCAGACTGACACCAACACTCAAGGTACTGCTCTACAATGCCCTGAGCAGCTTGTCAGTGGCAGGAATGGTCCCCCTCCTGCCACCACTGCAGCCCCCGAGCTGGCTGCAGGGAGGTCGCTTCCCCTCCCCACAGGCCTGTAGACCCAGCTCTCTCTGCACAGTGACACTCAGGGGATGGCTCACTCTGTACCAGATGTGCTTGGTATCAGGATCCAGGGTGACCCAGGTGATGGCAGCCACGGGCAGGAGCAGCAGCTCCCATGTCTCCCGGGCGTGGACCCCCGTGTGCCCACATCCAGATCTCTTCCAGAAGCACAGTGGGGGTGAGGATGAGCATGGGTGGGAAAGGAAGGCCAGGTGTGTGGGGGGGCAACTAAGAAGCCACCCAGGAGGCAGGGAGGCAGCAAGAGACTGGGTGGGTGGGAGCAAAAACTCCAAATGCCTGCAGCACGCTCCTCTGTTCCGCCATACTTGACTTACAAAACACAAAGTCAAAGATGAAATTATTAGGAATTTCAAGACGATGGCCACAGAACACTCAACCCCAAGAGCAGGTTCTCTGAACTGAGGCCTCAGTTGCACGTCTAGGAAACTGGCTCTGGAACCAGGCAAGGTGCAAGAGCAGTGGTCATCAACGGTGAGCACCGCGTAAGGAGCCGAAGAGTGCCACAGCGCCCTGGGCCTCCTCACCCTCCTGCCGTGGGCGTGTTTCCCACAGTGAATAATTGGGGCAGCATCCACTAGAGCTAATGTGACTGTGTAATCAGCCATCTTTCAGCTCGCACATGGAAGGGGATTAATTCATCATGGCACCAAGACAACAGGAGAGAAGGGACTGTCTAGACATATGCTCACCCCATCTAGGATGGGGTATGTGATTGACCTTACAGAGTGTCTATTATGACTTAAACATGACAAGTCCCCTGAAGACTTGTGTAGGGAAGGTCTGAGCCCACTGCTCAGAGGCAGTGTGTCACAGAGTCACTAATATCCACTGATCCATCTGTGTGCTGATGGGATGTTAGAAGGTGGGACCACCTGGAGGAAGTAGGCCGCTGGAGCTGAGCTTTGAAAGGTGTGTCCATCCCCAGCCCCTTCCTCTGGTGCCTTTCCTCTTGCTGTGCTTCCCAGACGCCATGAGCACTTTGCTCCTCCACACCCTTCCGCCATGTTTCTGCCTTGGAGCCAGCTGGCCATGGACTGAAGCCTCTGGAATTGTGAGCCAAAATAAAACTTTCCTCCTGTAAGGTGTGTCAGGTATTTTGTCATAGCAATGAAAAGCTAACTAATATAGTGCTATACACTGAAAAGTTCCAGTACTGCTGCCTAAAAACAATTATCCAACATGAGACTCAAACATGTCAATTCTCTCCTTATTCAGGGTAGATTCCCAGCTCTGTTCTGATTACTATTTTTAATCCATGTACCCTACATTTTTTCTCTGCCAGGAAGCCTAGGAGGTCATTCCTCAAATTTGGCTGCAGTATTTGGTTTGGGAGTTCAGGGGAACAGGTACCTCTGGATTCTCTGCCATGCCTACAAATGGGCTGGTTTTCCTCTAATTTCTGACAAATATGGGGAACATGAAATACTCTTTATATAAACCTATGTTTGCAGTGCTCTGTCAAAGGTGCCAGGGCATTAATGTCACTGGCTGTAAGAAATCCTAATTGGCCTTAACTAACATATTTTAGAGTTCAGAAGAGACTCTGTTAAGGATTTCATTCTGAAGGAGGAGTTCACTGTTGCTTCGCCTTTGCTCAGCCCAAACTATTCTTCTGAGAAGATGAAATCATTTGTACCTGTTCTGAAGAGACTGTCAATAAAAGAGATGTCCTTTACACCACCCTGCCCCATTTTTCCTCAGATGCTGTCCCTGTCTGTGCCCTGGGAATGTTGTCACAGGGAATCAATGCATTGGGCTTCCCGTTTGACATCCGATGTGATTTTTATCTTTGTATTATTTCTCTTGAACAAGAAACACCTTTTTGAAGCGTTCTATTTGTGCCATAAAATATAAGTGTTAACCTTTTTGGAAAAAAAGGAAATACTTCAAGGAGCTGCAACTTCAGTGGTGTCAGCTCTAAGCGCCTGGGAAATCTGTGGTTCAAAAAGCGAGGAAGGGCTCCAAACCTTCCCTTTCCACCGGAGTCATAAGAAAAAGATTGCTCTTAGACCAACGAGATCCAAGTTACACAATATTATACTCAAATTCTTGGCACAAATCAACAAGGAAATATGTGTTTCTTCACATCATAATTTTAAGTTTGAAAGTTTATCATTCAGAAAACTATGTTCTCACCCTACATCTCTCCTCACTCACAATCTCTCTGCTTACTTAAAATAAAAAAGGCTGCTCCACAGGGTGAAGACAAAGGTTCTTGACCAATCATTCTTTGAGAGCCCTATGGCATGCCAGTCTAGCCTCACCTATACCACCGCCACCTTATACTTATTAAATAAAAACCAACTGTAGGTAGGTACATGTCATGAACTTAATTATGCCCCCTTGGTATTGGTGCTTTGGAATTCTTACCCCAGGACCTCAGGATGGGACTGTGTTTGGCCTGGAGAAAGGTAATGAAGGTCATTTTGTGGGGATCCAACGTGGCCAGTGTCCTTACAAATGGAGGAGAGGGTACAGATATACACCAAAAGATGAATATCTGAACACAAGAGAAGGCAATCATCAACAAGCTGAGGAGAGGGACTTCAGAAGAAATCAAATGGTGCACTGATCTCCAAATTCTATCTCCAGGAACTATGAGGTCATAAATATCTGTGGCTTAAGCCCCAGTCTACATTCTCTGTTGTGTGACTGTAACATATTAATCCAACAGGTTTATCTTGTAGCCACTCCACTTACTGCTCTTTTAAATTTGTTTTACATTTTAAAAATCAACTCTATTAAAGGATAATTTACATATAGTAAACATACCTATTTTAAGTGTGAGACTCAGTGAACTTTGATAAATGTGAATATCAATGTAAACACACTATTGTCAAAATGGAAGACTTTTTTCAGCCCAAAGAGTTCTTCCATACCCCTTGTAGTCAGCCTTCACTCATTTATAGACAAAATCGGTCTGCTTTCTGTTACAGTAGATTAATTTTTCCTGTTCTAGAATTGCATATGAAGAGAATACAGCGTGTGTGTGTCTAGCTTTTGTTGTTATTGTTGTTCAGCATGTTTTTGCAACTCATCCATATCACACATACATCAATGGTCTGTTCCTTTTTGTTGCTGAATTGTATGGATAGCTGTAATTTGTTTATTCACCTATTGGTGGATATTAGGTTACCTCTAGCTTTGAGCTGTGAATAAAGTGGCCATGAACATCCATGTAAAAGTCTTTGTGTGGATATCTGTTCTTTATCTTGGGTAAATACCTGGAAGTAGAATAGTTGTGTTGTGTGTCAAGTGTGTTCTTAATTTTCTTTTTTGTTTGTTTGTTTGTTTGTTCAGGGATTGAACTCAGGACCCTGTGCTTGTGAGGCAGGCGACGGCACCACTAAGCTAAATCCCCGGCCCCTTAATTGTTTTGAGGGTTTTTTTAAAAGGAAAACAGAAGAATAAACATGTTAAAATCTTTTTCCAAGGGCATTACTTTTCCATCAATTTAATTTTTTCAAATTGCAAATTTATCATTTTACTTTTCTACTAATAATGAGAAGAGTCTTGGTTGTTTTATATTCATTCCAATGCTTGTGAGTTTTTAAATATTTTACCCATCCTTATAAGTATAGAATAGTCTTTTATTGTGATTTAATTTCAGTTTTCCCCAGTGACTAATGATGTGGAATATCTTTTCATGTGCTTATTGAATAGTTGTACATATTCTTTTGTGAAATACCTGGTTAAGTATTTGCCCATTTTAATTGAGTTATTGACTGTTGAGTTGTAAGCATTCTTCATGTATTCTGGGTGCAAGTCTCCTGTCTGATACATGTATTGAGATTTTTTTCTTATCTATGCCCTACCTTTTTATTTTGTTGATTGTGTCTTTTGATGTCCAGAAAGTCTTAATTTTTACCTATTTTTCTTTAATAACTTGATTTTTTTGATCTAAGAAATTCCAGAGTTGCAAACATGTCTTCCTTTATTTTCTTCTAAAAGTTTTTTAGTTTTAACATCTTTGTGAAGAAAATTATTTGATGAAGTCAAAGAAGGCATATGTGATTTTTAGAAAGCATACATACAGAAAAGATTTGTAGTTTTTCATGGAGACCTCTGATCGCTTTGAGGCCACTTTTCTGTACGGTGTGGGTAAGGAGTGGGGTTCTTTTGGGCGGAGTCTTTGGCTACTCCATTGTTTCAGCACCATTAGTAGTGAAGACTTCTCTATTCCTACCGAATCGCCTCACCTTGGCACGGTTTCTCAGCAATTTATTGGCCATGTGCTCATGAGGTCATTTGTGGACTTATGATGGATGGCTCTGCATGTCCTGCTTGTATCAATGCCACATGTATTGATTACTCCAGCTTTATAGGAAGACTCGGGTTCAACTTTCTTCTTCTGTTTCAAAACTGTTTTGACTCTTCTAGAGTCTGTATGTTTCCACATAAATTCTAGAATCAGCCTAACAATTTTCCAAAAACCTGCCGGGATTTCTATTGAAATTGTGATAAATCTACGAGTAAACTTGGGGAGAATGGACACTTTACTAGCAATAGTCTTCAAATTCATGATTTTTCCTTTCAGTTGTTTCAGTCTTCAATCTCAGCAGTGTTATTCAAATTTTACTGTACAAATCATATACATTTTGGTCAATTTATTCCTAGGTATTTAATCTTTGTTGACACTATTACAAATGATATTTTTGACATGCTATTTCCTGATTCTTTGTTGCCTGTATACAGCATTACAGCTGAGGTTTGTATATTGTCCTCGTTTCCTGAAGTCTTGTTAAACCCTTATTAGTCTAGCAGCTCTGTTACAGTGCTTTAGAATTGTCTGTGCGCACAGTCACGCCCTCGTGAATGAAGGCCGTTTTACCCCTTCTTTCCCAGCCTGAGTACCTAATGGTCTTTACCTCTTCTCGTCCCCTGTCGCACATTCTAGGACCTCTAGGACAGTGTCAAGCAGAGGTGATGAGGAAGCCATCCCTGCTTTGTCCCTGCTCTGAAAGTGAAACGGCTCTGTTTCGATACTAACTGTGATGTTAGCCGAGAATTTCTCACACGTGTCCTACGTGGGTCAAGGAAGTTCCCTTTATTTCTAGCCTGTTGATGGCCACCACATGAATAGGTGTCGAATTTTGTCAAATGCTTGCTTTCTTTTACATCCATTGATTCATTTGGTATCTATAAAGTCAATTGGTTTTTCAAAGGTTAAACCACACTTCAGTGTCCACCCTACAGCCACTTCTGTTGGTGCTCTGGGCTGGTCGGGCTCCTCTTCCTCAGGGTCTGCGCCTCGCATGCTAGGCTCCTCCAAGGCCCTGCTGCTGCCCTGTCAGCTCACGTCTGAGGACCAGCTCTGATGGCAGTCTGTCCTTGCTAATCTCATGGCCTCTCTTCCTCCTCCCAGCCCAAGGCTCCTGATTCTTTTATAAATTCATAGCTTCTCAGAGGTAGAACTATTTTAGTGATCATTTAGTATACAACCTTCCAGCTAAAGCGTGAGTCCTTGCTACACTACCTCTGCTAAATAATCACTTTTCCTAGGCTTAAAATCATCTGGCACAGGAAACCGAGGACACCCCAAATCCCCAAATACAGAGATTCCAGGGGGTGAAGCAGGCTAAGAGGACACCTTGTTAAGGCTGGGTTTCAGTTTTCCTACATGCTATTATCAACTGTTTAATCTGTCTTCATTTTTCTTTTTTACACTGGGTTCTGCAAACTCCCATGGCCACATTCTCGGGATTCCATGAGTTCTCTATGGAAATCAGAAGAAAGATATTTATTTTTATAGTACTCTAAAACATAAAAGTAATACGGGCACATTCCGGATGATGCCCATGGGCAGAGTGTGAAAGAACACTACCACTGGAGTTCAGAGCCTGTCTCCTCCGTCCATCCGTCCTTGTGCCTCCTGGACCGAGTGACTGGTTCGGGAGTAAGGTGTGGGAGGCGGGCTGAAATGCCACGTTAGCAACCAACTCACTGTGACTTGAGGAAACTGTTTTCCTGTGCTTCAGTTTCCACATCTGTGAAATCCTCATTCATAGGATGATTACGAGGCGTCAACGAATTAATATATTGGAATGCTGCCTGGAATGTCATAAGTGCCAAATAAATGCTTAGTGGTGTCATCAAACAAGGCAGGCTTAATTGTTGCTGCCTGTTAACTGAGGCGGGCAGGCAGACTTAATACGCACCTTCATCATTACACGCCATGTGAAGACTAAACACGGCCCCACACATTTATTCCGGGATTAACAGTGCCCGGCACAGATAAAGCAGAGAGAATTGGGTAATTATATGACAGCAATACCTAAGCATGCCCTGCAACAAAGCGGCCATTTAACTTCAGCAAGAGAATCATTTTTCATACAAATGTAATGTTAATTTAGATTTTACTACTTTTATAGTTTGCTTATATTTAATTTAAATTGGTTTTCTATTTATACATCATAAGGACTAGGAACATATGGAGTTTATGTTTAGTTTCATGTTGCACATATTTAAATAACACACTACTAAAAATCATTTCTCCACGCTTGAAGTCCTGAGATAATTTTTCTCTGCAAAGCAGGTCCACACATTACATTACTGGAGCTCTGCCACGTGGTGAGGCCAGCTCTCTCCCTGATGAAGTGGTATCCCTGGTGGTGTCCCAGGTGCTGGAGCCGTCCATACTCTGCTGAGGTCGGAGAGCGCCGTCCCGGCAGACCGGAATCCGGGAGAGAGCCCCAGCATTGTGGCTGTGTTCCCGGGCGCCTCCCGCAAGCTGGGGTCGGAGCCTGCCGCCCTTCAGTGCGCATAGGGGGAGGCCTGGCGGCCTGGCGGCCGGTTGCCCACTATGCTGGCTGGGTGTCTCCCCGACCGCCCGTGGGGTCCCCACATAGCGAGTCCAGCACGCGCCGGCCGTGTCTGCGGTGGCTTCCGGAACAGATTCACACCGAGCCGTGGCTGGGCTTTCAGACTGAGGACAGCAGGTGTGGGACTTCTCCACCCCATAACCACCCATACCCTCAGGAGCCCAGGCCTCCTGAGAACCCTCCCTGTGTGTTTGTGCAGAGATGGAGGCCAGGGAGGGAGGAGAGTGGAGACGCGCTCTGACTGTGCACAAACTCCACACCTGCAACGTGATCATTATGTAGTGCAAACACGGGCTCACCAAGACTTGTACAAGAGAGAGAGGGTAAGGGAGGTGTAAGAGAGGGTAATGTGGGTGGATATGATCAAATGTGCTATGCGCTTAGACAAAAATACCACAGTGAAAACAATATTTTGTAAAATTAACCAATACCAATAAATTTACAAAATATTTACAAAAAATAAAAATATACTAAATATTTTTGTATTTGTTTTATGAGACAGGGTTTTCTCTATGTAGTTCAGGCTGGCCTTTTGAAATCACTATGTATTTCAGATTGGCCTCTAACTCTCTGTGATCCTCCTGCCTCAGCCTCCTGAGTGCTGGGATTGCAGGCAGGCACCACCATGCCTAGCTTGAAAAATACTTTATAGGCAGCAACTTTACCTTTATAAGATCTTGAAATATATAGAGTTCTTATTTTATAGGTGGTGTAATTGCCAAAGATTTCCTAGCAATTCCCTATCGGTCCCTTCGGAAGAGATGATCTGAGCTGCTTGCAGTGGATGAAGTATCATTTAATAAAAGGCACCTGAGAAAATTTTAAAACTCATGCATGTGTTGATGTAATTCTGAGGCAGGTCAGAGCCAGGGTGCATGTCCTCCACAAGGGTCCCTCTTTGCATCCCCCCACTGTGCATTCATATTCACAAGTGGGTTCATGAACTCAGATAATCCAGACCCAGGCACGCCTGGGACCTTTCCTTCCTGTGTTACAGGCCAAGTGCTGCTACGGAAGCAGAGGCACCGGCGTCCTATTGCCAGGGAATCTTTCTCCTCAGCTGGGGTAGATGCTGGTTGAAGCGGTCACCACAGCTGCTCACCTGGTAAGGCAGATTCAAAACTCCCCCTCCGTCTTCACAAAACCCAGTCCCAACTCCAGTGCTGGCTTTTGTGGCAATGGTGCCAGCTCTCTGGCGGCTGCACAACCTGGGATCCTGGGTCGACCAGGTCTGGGGTCCCCTCCTGTGCAGGGTCAGGGGCATTCACATGCTGCCACTGGCTCCACCCGAGTGCTAAGGTCCGATGCGATCTTCGAGCAGCGCAGTGAGCATCAGTGGATCTTTTGAGAAAGTCATGGGAAGAAGACATGGACCAAGGAGAGAGGAAGGGGAGAAAAATCAGAACTACAGTGTGGTGATGCAGGTGTGCCGAGTCTCCACAATGAACACGATTATTATCTACTGCAAAGAGATACTGTTAAACAAGTTTTTAAATTTTAAATCATCGATATTTTGGGACAGTTTCTTGTAGCTTTCCGACTCGTTTTAGGTTTTGCCGTGTGAAGTTTTAGAGCTGCTGGAGGCAGGAAAGACCCGGTCGTGGTGGTTTGAAAGGGTTGCCCGCGGGCTGTCTCTGGCTCCACACCCTCCTGCGCCGCGGACGCCTGGGGCAGGCGCCTGGGTCACGGATGGATGGCGTGATTGCCCCAGGCCGCGCCCTGCTGTCCATGGGGAAGCTGTCTCCACCCCGGAGGGCTGGCCGAGAGGAAGCACGGGTCTGGGAGCCAGTGACATGCAGCTCACCCTGCCCTCCAAGCCCCCGAGACACTCAGGAGAAGCGAGGACCAGGATGCCGGGCGAGGACAGCTTGGCCCGAACTGGATGGAACTGGGCGTAAAATATTGCACATGATGTTAGGAGATACGTGGCACGTGCGTGCGTACATCCCTGCGCTCTCACGACACTTGGACGGATAATGCAGCTCTCGCGGGACTTGGACGGGACAACGTGAATGCACCCCCACGCTAAAGCCTCGTGAGCCAACTGCGTCGGCTTGTGTCTTGTGCCAGGGTATGAGGCCTTTTCTTCTTCGTCGTCTTTTAAAAAAAATTATATATCGTTTCTTAAGTAGATGGCTTTCCATGATTGCTGGGATAGGTTGTTAGCATTTAATGTTTATTTAAAGAACGCGTCCCAGTCTCTGTTTACCTAGCACATACCGTTGCCATGGAGATGGAGAGCCTTGGGGCGGGGCTTGTGCGTGCAGTGCGAGGCTTCAACACCGAAGGAAGGTGCGGTAGTTCTGACCATGGCATCTTCGAGTTTAGGGCGCGTCTTTTGGGGTTGGCCAGTGATTCAGCTTCATGTGCTTCTGTTTCAGCTGCTTGGAGGGCGACCACCTGTCTCCCCGAAGCACCAGGTGCAGCCCTCTGATGTAAATTCGGGCCCAGACACTGCCTGTGGCCGAGGTCTGGTGGCCCGAGCCGTCTCAGTCGGGGGCAGGCGTGGTCAGCCGCCCGCACTGGCCCATTACGCACGGACCCAGACAGGCTTCTGCTTCTGTGCTTGCATGCCCTGCGTTCCCCAGAGGGTTTGAGACTGTTTATGAATGTACATATTTTTATGTTTTGCTCTTACAGATGAAAAATGTTGAACAAAAAGTGAAAATTAAATCCAGAGAAAAATGAAAGTCGACTTGGAATGATCGGAGGGGAAAGTTCCGAGGACAGATGCAGGTGAGGCTCCTGGTGCGCACCGTGGGCGTGGGCGTGGGCGAGGAGGTCTGCACTTCGGCGAGGGAGCAGAGGGAAGCCCGTCTGGGACCGTCACGCACGCCACCGCTGTTTTCCAGAAGCTCGGCTTCTTCTGGCTCTGAAGCCCATGTGTGACCCTGGGCTGTGATCCTCAAGCCAGCTGTGCTACAGGGTCACTGGAGGAGGGTTCTGTTGTAGTGTTTGTTTTCATTTTTGTTTTTTCTTCATTAGTCCATTAGTTCGTTCCTACCATATTTCTCGTAAGGAGTAGCTGCATGTACAGAACACACCTTAATTCTTTTTCATCTTACTTACCTGTCTCCCTCTCCCTCTCTCTAGATCCCCTTCCCATTTACAAAACATCTATCTCCATTTCTTGTTATCTATCTTTTATTTTGTATTTTTAAATGATTTATGCTTTGAGTTTCTCATGTAAGAGAGTTACGCAGTATTTCAACTTGCGTGTCTGACTTATTTCATTTAACATTGTGGTCACAAAGTGCATCCATTTTTTTTACAAATGATTCAAATTTATCCTTTATCACAGAGTGGAACTCTCTTGTGTGTAAACACCACATTGTCTTTATTCATTCATCTGCTGATGGACATATAGGTCACTTCCATGATGTGGCTGTGTTGTGCTGCTCTAAATATGAGTACGGATGGATCACTGTGATACGAGGTCTTCCACTTCTTCAGGAAGATACCTAGAAAGGGAATCACTGGGTTGAATGGAATTTCTAGTTTTAGTTTTTTGAGGAATCTCATAATACAACCACTATGGAAATCAATAGCTTGTTAGTTTTTAACACTGATTCCTGAGACTCCTCTGGATGATGTGACCCAGTAGTCTCGAGAGGGGACCCAGAATATATCTCATTCGCTCTGTAATATCACTCTATAAATCATCTGGTGATTTGTAGAAGACTTACTAAATATTTTTTCCAAAAATGTACAAATGAATGGATGGAAGGATTGTTTGTCTTCTCTAAATTAAAGTTGAAAAATATTTGAAGATCTGTGGTTTGTGCATTGTTATATTTCCAAAAACTCTTACTGTAGTTCATTCATTCATTCAACATGCATTTAGCTGAGGCACATTATGTGCTAGGTGTTGCTGTCAGCCCTGAAAACGTGGTAATAAGTAAAGCATTCTAAGGGGGAGATGACTGTGAAATAAGATAATTTCATATATTTATGACTTGTGCTTTTATATATTTACTTATTTTAACAGCACGTTAGTGAGAGCTCCTTAAGGAGAGAGTGAGCACAGGCTTGCGCTGCCTGTGGATTCCAAAGGGTGTCCCATTCCCCAGGAAACTCGGGGCCTCGCAACTGTGGCATCACAAGTCCCTGGGGCAGCTTCCCTGGAAAACTCGGGAGGTTCCCCGGATTCAGTGCCCCGTGACCATGGCTGGGGATAAAGGAAACTTCACTTCGGAGAGCAGGACAGGATGGGAGAACTTTGAACATGGAAGTCCCCTTGAGAACCTCCTCCCTAATTCAGCAGTGACAGTGGCTCAGTCCATCTTTAGAAACAGGCTCTCTCCGGGTCCATTTATCACCCTCAGCCAATCTGCTTCCTTCTGAGGGGACTCCCAGGGGTGGGGACACCCACTGGGCCACATGTTCCTGGTCAAACTCAGCCTCAGCCACAGACCACCAAGGAATGCCACCCTCTCCCTGGTGGCAGACAGCCCCGGCTTCTGCCTCCCTGCTTGCTGTGGTGCCCAGCAACCTGAGGGTTCCCTCCCAGCAGGCCCTGGGGCCACTGATCTGCGGGTGGCCCATTGGCCTCCTCTTCCAGCTCCTCATTTTACAAATGGTCATCGCCACCCAGCAGCAGAAAGGAACGGCAGCTTTACAGCCTGCTTATAGAAAAAGGCTCAGCCCTTAGGCATCTTCTGGGGGGACGGGTTCACAGTGAAATGAATTTCCGTTTCTCCCCTAATAAATCACCTCACCCAACACATGTGAAATTCCATTCAGGAGACTCAAGTCGTTCTGGGGCCACACGGGAGAGCGTTTCAGCTCACGCTCAGGGCCAGTGATTAGGTCACAGGAGACCCAGTGGAGTGCACAGGGAGCTGGTGTGACATCCTGCGTTTATGCACAGGAACACTTCCCAGCAGTCCTTTCCTCTTGCCTCTCTCCTGTCTTACCCCAGCACAGGAGCCCAGAATCTGGGAGTAGGGCCAGCAGCAGCCTCTCCTTTGGACACTAGAATCTGGCTCTATGGTAAACACTCAGGCCTTCGAGAGTCTGTGTGTGGCTACTCTTTGTGACCTCCCATCTTTTTTACAAAAGTGCTAATGATTGTAAGGGCTGCACGCAGCTGGGAAATGAAGAAAGTAAATAGCGAGAGACAGCCTCATTGAGACAGATCCATGGAGGAGCAGAGGATGGCGAGCATGACTCAGGGCCAATCATGCAGAGGAACCTCAGCCAGACAGCCCAGAGCCTTCCGGCCAGAAGGGATCCCCACAGATTAGTGGTGGGGAGAGAGAAGAGCCGAGATTGGAGATTGTGGCAGTGAGCACTGCTGTTCACTGGGTCCCCACTCTGCCTGCAAGGCCCTAAGCTGTAATATTTACATCCGTTGTGCTCTTCGAAAACCCCATGACGTGGGTTTTCTGTTCTTATTTTTATAAACAGTTTCAGCTTTACAGAAAAACTAAGAAAGTAGTGCAGACAGTTTTCACACACTCAGGACCTGGTTTCCTTTCTTATTAATGCACTATACTGCTATGGTACATTTGTTATAGTACATGAACTGTGCCGAGACACTGTTACTAACTAAAGCCTACATGGTATCCAGATCTCCTCAGCTTTCCCCCATGTCCTTTCTCCATTCCAGATCCCGTCCAGGATATCACATTGCTATTAGCTATCTTGTTTTCCTAAGCTCCTCTTGCCTGTGACGGTTTCTCAGATTTGGCTTGTTTTTGATGATTTTGACAGCTTCGAGGAGTTCTGGCCATGCAGTTTTTAGGACACCTCTCAAATGGAATTTGTCAGATCTTTTGTCTTCTGATGAGTCTGGGCTTGTTGTTTTTGAAAGGTGAAGTAGGTATTTTTGGTTGTCTCCTTTGCAAAAAAAAAAAGAAGAAGAAGAAGACTCAGTGAAATAACCCCTTACTGCATTAAGTCACGTCCCTGGAAAGTGTGGATGGAGTCAGTTTTGAACCCTGGTCTGTCTAGATTGAGTTCTCAGCCATCAGATTGCTCTCCTGTAACTCTGTGAACTGGAAGCCCAAGGAAGACTCAAATCTGAACTCCAAAGTGGTGTTTTTTCATGGAGATACATGGATGGATGGATGGAAGGAACAAGAGATAGGTAGGTAGAAGGAAAGATAGACAGATAATTACTGCTTTCTACTGACATAACAGTCTCACCCTAAATATTCAAACACCATAACATGTATGAAGTGAGTCCTTTGTAAGCCCTCTGCAATAATCGCTGCTATTAGATATATAGTTTTGTAGTTCTTGTATATTTATACCATATATAATTTTCATTGCCATATGTAATTATGTCAACATAATTTTTAAGTAGAAGAATGCTATAGTATAGACATTGATCTGCAACTTTTTTTTTTTTTTTTTTTGGTACCGGGGATTGAACTTGCGTAGCAGGCGGCGAAACCACTGAACTAAATCCCTGGCCCGATCTGCAATTTTTTTTAACAGTATGTCACATGACTTTATAAAACTATACAATTTAGTTTGACTTCAAACTTTCTATGATTCTTTACAAGTGGCTATCAGGTTTCTCAATTTATGATTGGAGACCATCATAGTCTGAATATGCAGTGTCCCCCAAAGACTCATATCTTGAGGGACCGATTCCCAACGCAGCAGCTTTCAGAAGTGGAGCCCAGAGAGGTGACCACATACGAGGGTGCTAATCTCATCAGTGGACTGATTGATCCATGGCTCAGTGGGCTACCAAGAGGTGGGGCCCGGCTGGAGGAAGTAAATCTCTGGGGACCTGCCTTGGAAGGGTGTATCTTGTCCCTGCCCCTTCCTTTTGCTCTGGCTTCCTCATTCTCTGATTTCTGGCCTCCATGTAGTGAGCAGCTCTCCTCTGCCACCTCCATCGGCCATGATATTTCTGCCTTGCTCTAGACCTAAAGCAATGGTGACTTCTCATGGACGGAAACCTCTGAAACCTTGAGCCAAAATAAATCTTTCTTCCTTGAGGGTGACTTTCCTAGATATTCTGTCACAGTGGTGAAAAGTTGGCTAATACAGTGCTCTTTCTGATAATGGTAGGGGGCTGGATTCAGGAAATATGAGCATCATTTGAGGAGTCTACTAAAACAGATATTCTTAGACCCAAAGTCTAGAGATTCTTATTCAAAAGGTTTCATGGAATTTAGACTTTCTAATAAGCACAACTTCTTCCTCCAGGGGATTATAGATGCAAATGAGTTTGGAGGCCAAAAGAAAAATGCATAGTCTTCCTTCTTTATCTTGACAGTAGTCCTTCTTTAGTCTGGCTAGAAGTAACCCATTTTAACATTCAAACTAGAAATTCTGTCTTCACCTCTCTCTCATTGCTGGCACAAAGTATTTAACCTATAGCTTAAAGGAGGAGAGGGTTATTTCGATTCACAGTTGTAGTCCCTGGTCGGCTGGCTCCAGGGCAGGAAGGCATGTGGAAGGGCCTGGTGGAGGAGAGCTGCCTACATCATGGTGGCCAGGAAGCAGAGAGAGAAGGAGCAACTGGGGAGGTTGATGTAACTTCCAAGTCACAACCCCAGTGACACCTGCCCCACTTATGAGACCAACCCCACCTCCCAAGAGCACACTCAGAATCCAGTCACCTTCCCAAAGCCCTCTATCTGAACACATGAGGACTTGGGGGGACATTCCAGATCTAAACCCTAACACTCCACCCAGATTCCAACTGACTGGATTGGTCATTAGCCCTAAAGAACTCAGAAAGATTAGACCTACCCCCAAATAAGAGATTTGACCAAAATAGGGGGCAACTGGAATGAACTGTCTCTTCTCAGAAGAAGCACAAATGGCCAATAAACACGTGAGAAAATATTCAACCTCTCCGGCCATTAGAGAAATGCAAATTAAAACAATGCTGAGATCTTATCCTACTCCAGAAAGAATGCCATTGTCAGGCTGGGCATTTAGCTCAGTGGTTTCGCTGCCTGCTGCACACGGACCCGAATTCAGTCCCTGGTACCAAAAAAAAAAAAAAAAAAGAATGCCATCATCAAGAAATCAACCAATAACAGATGCTCACAAGGCTGAAGGAAAAAAGCCCTTTTATATTGTTGGTGGGAGTGTAAACTAGTAGAACCACTATGAAAATCAGTATGGAGATTTCTCAATACACTAAAGCTAGAAATCCATTCAACTCAGCTCTTTGCCTTCTAGGTATCTTCCTGAAAGAGTTAAAGATGTCATACTGCAAAGACACATGCACATTCACGTTTAAGCAGCACAACTCACAAAAGCTAAATCTTGGAAGCAGCCTGTGTATCCATCATGAACGGAGAAAGAAAATGTGGCATTTATATACAGTGAAATACTACTCTGCCGTAAAGATGGATAAACGTGAGTCATCTGTAGGAAAATGGATGCACCTTGAGACGATATCGTTAAGTGAAATAAATCAGACACAGGAGCTTAAATATCACATGGCTCCTCTTACTGAGAAACCCTTAATATAAATAAAGAGGAAAAGGCAGATGGTAGGAAACAGGGAGCTGGAGTTTTTTGCAAAAGGTAAGGTGAACAAGAGGTGGAGGGAGGACGAAGCGGGGCGGGGGAGAGAAGAACGCACTGGGATGTGTTGTGCCAGGGACCAACTCCACACGAGGGGTGGAAGCCTTATGTTTTGCAAACGTAGACCAACAAAAACGAAAGTTTCATGAAAGTATAATAGAGCCTTTGTGGGCCTCACTCATGCGCCACCGGGCTTTGTAGACAACCTCCTGTTCCCAGCAGCTTCTCCCGCCAAACTTGACCGTGCCCAAGAAAACGAGTGCCAGGCACGGAAGCCACCTGTCAGAGTGACAGCGGCCACTCCCAACACGCTGCCCAACGCACACTCGTCTCTCACTCACACACACACACACACACACACACACACACGATCGCTAATTACAACCGTCACATGACAGAAAAGGTTGGCGATCACCCTGATTTTACCTCTGGGGAAACTGAGGCACGGGGGGTGGAGTGGCTTCCCCGGACCAGCAGGTCACACTGTGCTTGTGCTGGGTCCGGGGAGGCTCATGTCACCGGACGCTGCCGGCACCGGGGTAGCAAGCGCCACGGAAGCCCCGCGTCCACCTGCAGCTCACACGCGCCTCACCGCAGCCTCGGGAGCAGGCAGTTTCCGTGTCCAGTCCACGGACAGAGCACGCGCGAGGGCAGCGCCTGACCTCAGCCTGCTGCAGCCGCTGCCGCTGACCCGTGCAGAGGCCGAGGCCTCTCCGTGAAGAGGCCCCGGGGCACCGCCCTTCCTCCCTGTGGCCGTTCAGAACCGGCCTCAGCACACGAGAAGTCTGCGCGCAAGCTTCACAGGTGGAGGCCAGAAGCACAGCACAGAGGTAAGCTCGGGCACAAAGGAGGGAGACGGCGTTCTCTGCAGGCCGCAGGGCGTGGGGAGGGCCGCGCAGGTTTGGACACCCAGGAGTTTTCCTCGGACACGGTGAGATTGAGAGCCGCTCATGCTGAAAGATCCGGTGTCTAAGGAACGAAACCCTTTGTGTGCTTGACACAGGCTCTCGTCTGACCTCTCGGTAGCAGTTGTCTGAAGTTGCTGTCATTACCCACATTTCCACAGGACCCACAGAGATGGAGACTCAGAGTGGTTAATTAATTCACCTAAGGCCACACAGCCGTTGAAGCCTTCAGAGGTGAGATCTGAACTGACAACTGATGTCAAATAAACTACTTTTTAACCTTGCAGCTATATTTTCGTGTCCTCTGATTTACTTGCAATGACTGAAAGCAGCTTCGTCGCTCCAGAGTCTGACCTGCTAGAACCCGAAGCCAGGTCCTCGGTCACTCTGTCCATCCGTCCATCTCTGCTTGCCCCTGTTGTCCTGTGGTGTGACACTGTGGCCCCAGAGAGCACAGGGGCTGCAAGGGACACTGTGGGAAGAGGGAGGATTCAGAGGTCAGGAAAAAGGAAGACTGAGCATTGGCTGATTCAGATCCCTGCAGCAGACGCTTCCCCAGCCCTATCCTTTCCTGTGACCTCTTGATGCCAGGGAGATGAAACCTGCTCTGACAGAAGGAAACTATGGACTTTCACCTCCTTAGTGCCCACAGCATGCAAGAGCTCCCTGCCTATCTTCCAACAACACAAGTTTCTAAAGCCATTAATCTGAAAAGCTGAACACCACTACAGCTCACACTACTGCCTGGGAGCTGAAATCCAACAGCAGCCAGGTGTACAAGTTTACAGTTTGGCTCTCACCCGATAATGCCCTCAGTCTCAGGCTGACTGTCTGCTTGCTAGACAGGGTGCACCTGCAGTGTCCTCCAACCTTTCTTCTGTGCCTCAGGTCCCACACAGGACAGGAGCAGGGGTTATTTCTCAGGCCAAGGGCAATCACTGCCAACTCCAGCTGAAACCCATTTTCTTGATCCACTATCTACTGATTGACCCAGTGAGGAGGGCACCTGGTCCATGTGGCTCAGGGTTCAAGTGTGAAGAATAGGAAAGGGCTCTGTCTGGTGAAGCCTGCACACTGTGTTAGCCTTTGGTCAGGCAGGGACAGAAAGACCCAGCTCTGACAACTAAAGCCACATTTTGCTCATCTATTTGGTGGTGGTGGAGGGGGCATCCCCATACCTAGTGGCTTAAAACCAGAGCTATGTTGTTATCTCCTGTTTCTGGGTGTCCACTGGGCTCAGCAGGGTGGTTCATCTGCTGTCTCACTTGGGTCCCTCCGGCAGCTGATGTGGACTGGTGGCTGAGGCTAAAGTCACCTGGACCATCCTGAGAAACTCATTCCCCCCTCTGACACCTGGGCAGGGACAGCTGCCAGGCTGAGCTCAGCTGGGACTCTCTCCCCATAGAGCTGCAGGGCCTCTTCTCTTCCACAAAGACTCTCTGGATGATCTCTTCACACAGTGGCTGGGCTTTTGTATGGCTACACCAGGCTCCCAAAAGTAGAAGCTCCCAGTCTTTAAACTATAGTCCCAGAACCTGGACACTGTCATTTCTGCTGGATTCTACTGATGAAAGTCACAAGGCTGTGACCCCTGTGTGGACATGCAACCTTGATACACATCTGAGGTCTCTGCTATAAGTAAGCTGATGAGCACGTTCCTTATGTGCATACACTCTCATCTTTACAGCTACCATTTGTTCAGGGCTCACCACAGGACAAGCATGATGCTATCAGGGGTATATCCTTGTCCCTCTTATTCTCACTAACATATACCAATAAAATAAAATAAAACTAGGTGTGTGTGAGAAACAAATGAAAAAACTGAGAGAGCTGGGTATTAGTACCACCATGTGACAAATGAACACACTAAGGCTCAAAGAGGTTGAGTAAGCTCTCTTAAATTATCCAGCTAGCAAGGAGTGAGGATAGGATTAAATTCAAGACTTGTGTGCCTCAAATATCTGTTTGTTCTTTACACAGACACAAGTTACTGCACTGTCCCTTCTTGTCATCTGATGCAGTGAAAAGCTGGCCACAGCTGGCCAAGCTCTGGCTGTGAGTGTTTTGTCCCAGAACCAAAGGTTTGGAGAATAAACATGGCCTGGTACTTGGGAATGCAAGGCTCCAGGCTCCCCAGCATCCCACCCTGTAGACCCCAAATCTTCTGCTTGCATTCTTTAGCCCCTATGCTGAAGGCTTTTGATTCTAGCATCTCATCCTTGCTACTGGCACCTAGACTTAGAAGCTCAGCTCCCTAGCTCTGTCCTGCCCACTTGTAGCCCAGCAATCTGCCTCAGATTTTGATCCTCTCCTTTTTGTATCTGGTTCCCTTGAGACTACTACTGGCCTCCCAGGATCTGAGTCCTTCCTCTCCTGGACTAAGCTACTGCCCACCCTTCCTGTTTACCCACTCCCCGATGATGGATTTGGCCTACATCCATCGAGGCAGACAGAATTCTGGATCTGTTGTTTATTCACTCATTTATGTCAGATATGTCCCGCTTCTGGTTATATTTTACCCCTTTTAGTTTTCTTTGCAATATGAACTTTTAGTCATCTTTGCAGTATTCCTTCCACCAGTTAGTCATGATCACTGTGCAGACAGATGGCTACAAAAATAATTTCTTAGAAATTTCTCCACTTTTTACTCATGCCTTTATTAAGATTCTGTGCCCAACAAGGAATCTGAGGAAAAAGTTTTAACCTCCATTAGTTACCAAGAAATTCTTAAAACTGAAGAAAGGGGAGAACCAACTTCTGAGCCTGGAAACCAAGCGCTGCTCAGACGGAAGTGAGAACTGGAACTTGTCCTCTGAATGGGGACTGGACTGAGCTCTACCTGTCTCACTCTCGGTTTATAGAACCAACCAGGTAATTCCCATAGGCTTCTTTCAGGACTAAAAGTTCTGGAACATGTTCTCTTGCTGAAGTATTCCAATGTATCATTCCTTCTGTCATCAAATATTTACTGAGCACACACCATACACCAGAGCTAGACACTCAATATCCAGTAGTGGGCAAAAGAAGCCATAGCCTACTTGGAACTGATGGTCTAGTGCAGGAGTCAGACAAAGAACAAGAAGGTACATGTATTGCGTTGGGCAATATGGTACACTGCTGTAATCCAAGCACTCAGGAAACTGGGGCAGGAGGATCACTGTGAGTTCAAGGCCAGCCTGGGCTACATAATGAGTTCAAGGCCACAGTGAATACATAGCAAAACCCTGTCTTGACAACAACAACAAAAAAGCTATATATTGCATCCAATGATGTTGAATGCTATGGATAAAAATAAAGTAAGGTAAGCTGTACAGGAACTCTGAGAGTGGCTAGGGAAGGCATCTGCCATAATCAATCTTGGGGGAATGGAGAAGGGTGTATGACATAAGGAAAGCCAAAGCCAAAGCAAGAGCAAGAAGCCTGGAGGCAGAACCAGACTTGGAGTGTTCACAGAACCATAGGGAGGCCAATACAGCAAAAGCAGTGGGAAAGAAGAAAGAAACAATGTCTAAGAGGTGGGAGAAAGAGACAGCAAATGTCTCTGTCCAACTTTGAGCACTTTTTCTTTAACTCAGAGTAAAGTGGAGAGCATGGTAGAGGATGTGGAGCAAAGACCTAATTTAAACTTTAGAAGGAGCCACGCAGCTGCTGTATTGAAAAGATAGTTGGATGAAAGTGGAGATTCCTTCCCAGTCTCTCCCAGGTGAGAAGTGGTTACACTCAGCCTCGTGTGGTGGCACTGGTGAGAGGGTGAACTGTGAGATCCTGGCTCTGTTCTGAAGGAGAAGCTGCGATTTGCTACTGAATCAGATATGCAGTGTGAAGGAAGAAAGAGAATAAAATACTGACAAATTGTCCTCACCTTAAAATGGCCACTACATGGGAAGGAGAAATGGCCTTCTCCTTCCCATCATACCCCGTTTCCCACCTAAAACCCAAGATGGCTTCTCCCGCCAAAATACAACCTTCTTTTTCCCAACATGGCCCTCTTCCTGCCAAAAGAGTAACCTGGTACTTGTTGTCTTCGAGCAACTAGTGATGTCATAGTGTCCTCCAATCCTGGTCAC